AAGTACTGAGTGAGCTTCCACCTGACCCCTCTCCTTATTTACTCCTCCCAGTGGTCAGAGCCTGACACTTGCTGGATGGTACTCCAGTGGTGAATTACAGGGAGTCAGAAGTGGGAAATACACTAAACCCATTCTCCCTTTCATCTGTGATCAAAGGCAGAAGACACTATTCCCCTTTCACCTTACTCTGTACTTTCTATTATGCTGTTGGCATCCATGGGTAGGAAACCATTCTCTTCCGTCTAGTTTGATAACTGGATTATGTGCAGCAAGGTTGTGACAGCTAATCAGTTATATTGACTTGGAAATCATTCCACTGACCCAGCTCTTTTCGTAGGGAGAATTCATGATCTAAATTCAGGGTGGGAATAGGAATACAATTTTGGCAAAATATCCAAGAAGTGTTCGGCAGGCCAGCTATTAGCAGGGAACCCAGATTTGTGGGGTGTTGGCTACTTGTATATCTAGTAATGATCTGGACCCCATTTGCTGGTGATCCTTCTGCTTATATTTACTACTAACCAAACTTCTAGGAGTTTAAAAAAATAGTAAGGTATGTTCTAAAATCCTTTCCCATTTGTGCTATTCTTACTCGTTCACTTTCAGATTGCATAATGCTGGTAAACACTATAGCTTCATATTCAGTTCTCATACTGGGTACTGCAACATGATAATTTAAATATTAGAACTTAAAATACTCTTTTTTAAGATAATGAAGTATGAAAAGACACATTGCCTGGATTCTGAAATATGCTATTTTTTTTGTCCCCATGAGCTATTTATAATCTTATTTAAGCATTTTAATATTGGATATTCACAATAGGATACCTTAACAGAATTTCTTTTTCCAGATATCTAACAATATACTGCTAGTCTAATAATTAATCTTCAAAGTCATCTCTCCCTATTCTTTCAGAAACTAGGTGTTTAAGGTAGGCCTGTAGTCCACGCAGCTGGCTAGGAAATTGAACTTAGTTTTTGACTTAGAATCAAATCATTATCTGGATACTATCTGGACATACCAAGAAAATAACTGTAAGCAGCTCTCAGCTAAGCATTTTTCTTGAATGATAAACTCAGATTTCTGGCTAGGAAACACTGAAAAATACAGTCATGTGTCGCATAACTACATTGGACAGTCAACAATGGACAGCATGTATGATGGTGGTCCCGTAAGATAATAATACCGTAATTTTACTGTATCTTTTCTATGTTTAGATACACAAATACTGACCACTGTATTACAATTACCTACAGTATTCAGTACAGTAATAGGTGAGTAGCCTAGGAGCAACAGGCTATACCAATAGCCTAGGTGTGTAGTAGGCTATACGATCTAGGATTATGTAAATACCCTCTATGATGTTTGCACAACCACAACATCACCAATGACACGTTTCTTAGAACATATCCCTATTGTTAAGCGACACATGACTGTAATTCATTTCACCACATCTCCAAAGAGTTTAAGCTACTGAA